TGGTTCGAGGATTAATAATAATAAAAAAACAATTTAATTATATAAGAAAACTACAGCTTAATTATATAAGAAAATTACAATTTTATTATATAAGAAAATTGTTTTCTTGTTATTATTAAATTGTTTAGCTGAATATTCATAATATATCATTTTATACTTAATTTATAACTGACATTATTTAATTCATAGACAACATTAATAAGCATGTGTAGTTAAGTATTATTAAGTTATCATTTTTCCAACTTACTCACATAAAAAAAAACTTTTAAATCTAATAATAAGAAAACGAGATTTGAGCAACGATTTGCTTTCTTGCAATATACATATTCTATGCACAATATATAAATTTACAAAATTACAGGAAAATCAAAGTAGTAGGGGGAGGGGTACGCTATACTTAACATTTACCAATATTTTGCAATTTCAATGTGTGACATATATTCAAATATTACATCGTGTCAATCCGTCTTGCATTTTCAGATTCGAAAAAGGAGAAAGCTATTAGGAGTTCAATCAAATCAGACATTCAACGTAAACTAGATTCAAACAACTTATTGATATTTGATGGCAGCAATTATATCAAGGGATATCGATATGAAATCTATTGCACGACCAAATTATATGAAACTCCTCAGTGCACACTGTATTGTAACTTGCCAATCGAACAAGCTTGGCTATGGAACAATAAAAGACTTGATTCAGATCGATACGACAGGGAAATTTTTGATTCACTTGTAACCAGGTGATGGCATAATGATAATAGCAAGAAACTAGTTTAAATTTCTAATATTATTGAATACAACAGATATGAAATACCAGAGACTACAAACCGATGGGATTGTCCACTTTTCACAATCATGCCTGAGGACATTCTAATGTGTGATGAGATTTATTGCTATCTCTACAAAGGGAAATTACCAAAACCAAATCTGAGTACCCAAATTGTTGGAATCTTTTTCTCATATTCCTTTTTTATAATATTTCAATACTCACCAATATTCACAGATATTTATTCTTTCAGCCACCATTAGCTTCCACAAATTACCTATACGAATTAGATAATATAACGAAAGATGTGACAAACGTAAGTTTTGTGTGTGTGTGTGTGTGTGTGCGCGCGCGTGCGTGGTACGTACATGAATGCGTGTACACGCGTGCATGCGTGCATGCATATGTATAATTAGGAATACATCAGATACCGGATATATACCTCTGTCAGATAATGTAGAATAGCCGAATATTTTCTTTTATAACTTTATCCAGACGGATAATAGGATATTATTTTAACACCATTGCTTACGATACTGAAAACTACCTTATTGTTGCGCATGCGCGAAAAAAAGCTATATTCAGCAGCACTGAGCACTAATTACTAGGGCCCGGATGTTCGGACGCGACCCAGGATTGCGCCCGAACATCCGGGCCCTACTAATTACATCCAGAAATGCTAATTTTTGTAATGAAAAATTTAAATATTAAATGTTTATTTTTAGTAATTGTTTAACAATAGTTACCAAGAAAGTTGATAAAAATATTGTTTCTATCAAAGTAAATAACCCTTGTAATACAAGGTACAAGGTGCGTTCCGATATTCACAGCCAGTGCTAAAATTATACAGTATATGTTATGTTCGCTGTAGATTTTCAGCACTAACAGTGAATATCGGAACGCACCCACAATTTGATGCCTTATCCGCCCAAACATAGGTTGTACTGAAGCGAGTACACTAAGTGAGAGGTAGATATCGGCTGCGTTCAGCAGAACAGTTTTGCAACCGTTTTATGATTCTCTGCTGAGATTGGACCATTCCTCTTGATTTAAAAGCATAATCCAATCAACACGAAGAAAACTTCCAACAGTTGTAAAATAAACATTCTGCTGAACGCAGCCATCGTCTGCATTGTAATGTTTTCGGCAGCTCTTAATTCACGTTAGCAATATAAAAGCTGTGTTCCAAATTGACTGCCAGCACTGAAAATGCTACAGTTTACGTTGCGTGTACTATAGATTTTCAGTACTGGCAGTCAATTTTGGAACACAGCCATAGTAGTATTACATATATGGTAATAATTCGCAAGTGTACTACTATACATTCATGGAGCAAGTGATTGAGTGTTAAATACTAAAATTCAGACGTAATAACCATATTTTTGTTTTTTCTTCACTTAAATGCTTTTTTTTTTTACTATACAATATATCGCTTTCTTACTTCAAAAGTGATCCAACTTTGAAAAGAAGCAAAATTTTCGAATGATTATTATATTGAACGAATTAAATAAAAATTAGTTTATTAATCATCATTATCATCAATAGTGATCTTTTATATAAAAAAACGTAACAGTTTAAAAAAAAACAGGATTTTTTTAAGGATTATGAAATGAAAATAACAGAAAAATTATTCTTGGTTATGTTAAAAGTGTATTCATTTGACCAATATTTAATTTGATTAATCAATAACTTTCTATTATGTTTAAAAATAACTTTTCTCCTTTTCTGAAAAACTCCATTTTTTTAATTGTCACTTTTGAAGTAAAAAAGTTATATGCAGTCTGTAAACAAAGGCTGTACACAATGCTTTATCAAACGCTGCGGTTTACATGTGAACATTAACAAGAAATATTTTTTCTTTAAAGGTGATACTGTCAATGCAACAACTGGGAATAAAGTACGATATAAAAATACCAGGTTCTAGTGTAAATTTAAAACGCACAACCGTATCGTCGAAACTTGCAATATTAAGAAGACAGTTTATAACTTTTAGTAAAATGCAACAAAATGAAGTTGATCAAATTGCCACGTTATTTGTACAATATCTCAATAACAATATACGGTAAAAGTGAATTTATATATCTTTTGTTTTTTAATTTTGATATGACTTTACATGTGTGTGCACGCGCGCGCACATGCAATATGATTGTGTGTGTGTGTGTGTGTGCGCGCGCGCGCGTGTGTGTGCGTGTGTGTGTATACATACATACATACATACAAAATCACGAAAGTCGTTTGATAAGTCTAGTAAATCTTTTTGGTAAAAATGGTGTAACAATCCATTTGATGACGTGACACCTGAAAATTATTTCTCTTTAAACTCTTCCAGGCCAAATGTCAGCTAGAATTGATACGTTGTTTACGTTCGATAGTCATTTAAAGCGAGTGAAAAATTTACTAGTTGCCGCGTACAGAAATGGAAAAAAAAAAGGAATTCTGTGTAAAATTACAGAATTTAACTTCGAATTGACTCCTTATCCACTTTATTCCTCATCCACTTAATTTTGCATGGAATTTGTTTCCTTTTTTATTTTTATACGTGGCAACTGCTTAATTTCTCTTTCGCTTTAAACAACTACCAAATGTGAACAACGCATCAATTCTGGTTGAAATTTAACCTGGAAGAGTTTGAAGAATGATACTTTCCAGATGTCATGTTAAAAAGATTTACCAGATTTATCGAATGATCCACATATATACAAGGTGTCTCTAAATTCCTGCATACAAAGTATAAGAAGTGATATTTCATGCTAAAACAAACAACTTTTTCCTTTTACAAAATGCATCTGACAAGTAGTTTTTGTAGAAGAGCAGGTTGAAGTTGTACAAGTAAACGTAAAAATTATTTATCGAATATAATTTTACTATAGGAAAAAGTTGTTCGTTTTAGCACAAAAAACAACTTTTTCCTTTAGTAAAATTACATCCGATAAGTAGTTTTTGCAGAAGAGCAGATTGAAGTTAAATAAGAACAAAAATTATTTATCATACACAATTTTGCTAAAAAAAAGTTGTTTGTTTTAGTATAAAGTATCACATTTTGTACTGCGGGAATTTAGAGACACCCAACGTAACAATTCGCACGATTTTTCAGATACTTACAATTAAAAAAAAGTTGAAAGGTAAATATTCATCTGTTTTATACAGATTACAACCACTAAAATATAATACCTACTGAAACGCGCGCTTGCGCTAGTTTCGCGATCCGACAAAGAGGATCTCAAGTGGTATCCTCTTGTCCTTTTTTAGTACAATATTGTCAAAAGTTTAATTCTTACAGATTAGGTTATGCGAGATTCAACATACATTTGACATTTGGCATGCTACGTATATTATTAATCTTAACTTTTCCCGAGACTGTACGAGCCCCACTACTGTTTACTGCACATGCGCAGTATAATCTCGAAAAGGTACCACTTGAAATGCTCTCTCGGATCACTGCTAACAAAGGCGGCTAGAGTCCGCGCGCGTTCTAGTAGGTATTATATTTCAGTGATTACAACATGCAATAAAAACATTTTCTTTATAAAAAAATCAAAGTCATCTTAAATTTTTTAAATAGCACCCATACAATTTTTTTTCATAATATTGTAGGAGTCTTCAAGACAAATTCAAATCACTACTGAAATGTCACTTTTATTGATGTTTTATTGATTTTATTGATACTTAATAAATTTGCAGTATTATTTTTAACAGCAGTACATACAACCTCTGACAACGCAGAACATAAACACATATATACATATATACATGTACTTATTTAATAAAATATGCAATAAAATCAATAAAAGTAACATTTTGATAGTGATTTGAATTCGTTTTGAAGACCCCTATAATATTATGGGAAAAAATTGTATGGTGCTATTTAAAAAATTTAAGACGAGTTTGATTTTTTAATAAAAAAACGTTTTTTAAATTTTTATCGCATGTTGTAGCCTGTATAAAACAGATGAATATTCATCTATCAACTTTTTTTTAACTGTCGGAAGTGTCTGAAAAATCAATCGTACGGACCGTTACGTTGAACATCCTGTGTGTATATATATATATACATAATCTTATTATCACGCAATAACATCGCATAATTGTACAATAATGAAAATCATTGGTTTGTAAATATTTATAAAACCTTTGTCAAAACATATGTTTTGACTTCAATCAAATTACTCATGATACAATAAACAAGAAATGTAATTAGATTAAATATTGTCTGCAGTTATGGTACACTAATCAATTTAAAAAAATAGTTCTATTATTTTCAAGGCATTATTTAAGTTACGAAAACAATCTCGTAGCGCCATTGAAAACTTTTTTTGTATGAAATGAGTCTTTATATTAGAATAGATTGAGACAGATAAAGATATAAAAAAAGAAAATATATAAGTTTTAAACACGATCATAGAACTAGTTCTCACAGGTGAAACACGGCTGCACTTAAACAATAACATCTCAGCGTTCTACACTTCTTCAGGAAGAAAAAGCACCACGCTTTAATTAATTCTCTTGTTCTTGCGCACTGTTAGTTTCACCTCCGTTCTGATTGTGATTTACACCGTCCACATGTCCATTTGGTTTTCGACAAACAAAGTACACGCTATTATATTCGCACTGTAACATACTATTAATATTCTGGGCATAACGCGTTTTCACTTTTGTCTCTTCTTTCTAAAAAAAAAAAAAAATAGACTATACGTCCGTGAACGTTTCAGGAATATCGTACGTAAAAATAAAGTTTATTACCTCCAATTGAAAGCCAAAACCTAGAATAACATCACGGATAGCGTCGTAACTTGGCTCGATCGAGTCTTCGTTCGGTAAATCGCTGAAATGATAGAGCAACGGTCCGAGATTTATCCAGACGCCACCTGGCTTCAGGATCTTATAAATTGTCTCGATAAATTGTACAACGTTATTGGCACAGTCTATGAAGAAACATGTCGCGATGCAATCCCAATGGTTGCTCTCCGTATAAACCTGAAATAAATCATGTTGACTGAACAGATAATATTATGATTACTTACAGTTAATGCAAAAAGTATTCATAGAGGAGACTTTCAAACTTTATTTTTAGAAAATAAATATTAACTAGTGATTTAACAAAGAATAAAATAAATTGTATATTTAAAAAAATTATTTTGTCTGTAAAGATGTAATAATTAAAATATATTATCTTAATAATAAGTAAAAATGAAACTTGTAGCATTGGACACACAAAACGTATTCGTACTCTTTTATTTATACTAGAACAGAACATTATAAATATGTAATTAATATTTACTTTCTAAAAGTAAAGTTTTTTAAAAGATACTTTCTCTGTACAAATATTTTGTACTCATTGTGCACGTTATATATTCTTATTTTACCTCTAAAAAATCACCCGCGGTCATAGAGAATTGCGCATTTCCTGGAAGATCGCTTGGGCTTACGTCGGGGAAAGAAACCGCTTGCGTCTGGTGCTCAGGTTTCAAGTTATTCATATATTGATGCACCCATGGATGTACTTGATACAAGTTTATATCTCTACATCTATTAAAAAAGGAAAAATTGTGACAAAAGATGCGAAGGTGGTTATTTGCGTTACTGTTACTTACTTGTTTAATACAAAGTTCGATGCAAACAGCATGAATAGGGAAAATTCATTTCCTTGGCAGGTATATCCACGTTTCGCAATTTCGAAAGCAAGACGGCCTAATCCTGCACCAGGTACTAAAATATGCACGTCCGATGGTTTACTGGAAATTCAACTCATTTGATATTTCTTTCAGTCATATCTCGGTGTGGCTTACAAAAGAAACTTTTGAAATATTTTCAGCTGTGATTTCATCAAAAGTTTATTCTGTATGTTAATTTAGTGTATCCTTTGATGAAAAAGCAGCTTAAGATCTTATAAGCTTTAAGAGATTTTGCAAGTTTCTCTTGATTTTGCTTTTTTCGTGTTTCTTTGATATATTACACAATAATTGTTTGTACAATAATTATGAATTATCATACCAATTCTCCAATGGAAATTGATATAATATTTCGTCTACAATTAGCTGATAACACGCTTTTCGTTCCTCAGCACCTTCCACACTCCAGTCTCGTACCAATTGCTTAATGGTAGCTTGCACTTTCTCTTGATCTGACATTACAGGCCTTAGATTTAGCGTCTGTAATGAAATCCATCTATTTTACATAATAGAACAATATCACAGAGATAGCAGTTTGAGCAGAGTTGGATAAGTTAACTTTCTTTTTAAATTAAGTTTAGTTAAAGTTAATAGTCTTGAAAATTTAACTTATTTAAGTACAAGTTTAATATGAACTTGTATTTAAATAATCCATAATGAAATTAATTGAAATAGAAGTTACATTAATAAAGAAAGTAATTGAAAAATTAACAATTAAATTTGGTCTGAATGAAGAATTAAAGAAAAAAAAAAAGAAAAAATTTGACTATTTTTTACATAAATTTTTATATTTTTTCTTTCTTACAACATATCCATTAAAGAATCACTGGTTATTTTTGTTTACAACTAACAATTAAACAATATAAAAGATATAAAATTTTTAAATTATATACTCATTATTCCCTCACATTGTGTCTGAAGGTTGACTCCCAAAAAGTCAAATTAAAAGTTAATAGTTACCAATAAAATTAACCTTTTAATTTAACTTTTAACTTTTTAACTTAGCATTACACCCAAACCCAGGTTGAAATAATTAAAATTAAATTTAACCAAAGTATATCCCATGTAGCACGCATCTTTAAGGGACATCTAGAGAATGTCTTATGTCCTAAGGACATCCCTCAAATAAAATATGTTGCGTAGATATGATAAAAATATCAAAATATATTTTAAAACATATTGATTATATTGTATAAAAACTTTAAACTAATTAAACTCTATGTGCGATAAATAAAACGTTAGATAAATGTCTCTTACATTGTCAACTTGAGCAGTAGTTGGACATACATTTTCAAATATATGGGCTACATCTTTTATTATGAGTTTTATGATTTGATCATTGTTCTCGATACACCGTTTGACCTCTTGCAAATGTTCCTTGTACTTTGATAAAAGCTTCTGATGATGTTGTGGTAGACTAAGAAAATAAGACTCCGTTTTTCTCAATCTTAGCAAGGAGTGTGTTCTGCGCAAAAAAAAAAACAGAAGAAATTAAACAAATGGAAGAATTTCTGCATGCATTGAGCATCGAGTCACCAACGTTATTTAAATATTATGGTAAGAAAATATCACAGGAGTGACATCTGAATAGTAATCGCTTACAAATCGAGTCTTCGCAATGAACGATAATAATTAATGCAACATGTCTCTCCAGTGACTCTTGAGCAATAATAAAAAAGAAAACTACTGGAATTCAAGACCAGAGTTGTTGCCGTACCGGTTCTCGCCGTCGACAACAGCATCAAGGAATAAGAAGGAACGAAATTTGTGAGAAAATGGGGAGAGAGGTGAGCGTCAAGACTGGACCCAAGGCACTCACTTGTAATATCTGAACGCAGAGACGATTCTCTGAAAGTGCTTTCGCTCCTCTTCATCCTCGTAACTGTTGTGCATTCTTCTCGGATGCGAACTCGCAGTCGTGTCCATCGCTTCCATCTTTAATATACGACTTTCCGCGGACCGCGGGGCTTATTTTCTAATGAATCCTACCTCTCGTTCCGCGTGCCGAAGAGCGTTTGGGTTGGAGTTGGAGCGTTTACAGTCCTTTCGCACGGCGCCGCCGGTAGCCGTTCCCCGTCCGCACCTTCTGTACCCGAAGCAACGAGAGAGGTGTATGTATACCCGAGCCCTAATGAGGAAGGGAGACGTGACGCGGAAGGTGCAGCTGATGGAGATAGTATCATCGATATTCCCTTTAACGTATATATATCTTCCGCGATTATAATGAAATAAACGTTAATCGAAGGAGAGAAAGGTTACGGGAGGTATGGAACGCTTGTCTAAAATGAACGGATCTCGAGAGAACACGATAGGTTCTCGCTGTTTTATTCATTTGAAACTCTTCAATTTCAAACTATCATAAGTTTCCCCTACTCCAAGCCAACTCAGCTGGTCTAGAATCCTATATTTATAAGAGAAGCGCGACTGATATTAAGTGTTCTGATTGGTCACTGCAATCACGTGATTAGCAGCCAATCATGAACTTATTTCTTTTATATTCTGTGTATATTTAAAATGGCTGCTGAATGAATGATTGATGAATTTCACAGACCTAGTATTTCTAGACTGCGCATTCGAGCAATAGGGGTAGAGTAGAGGCCTAGATAAGACAGAGATGCGACATTGAAGGGTATGGTCTGATTGGCTGTATAACTCACGTGATTAGAGCGCCATTTTAATTCATTCCTGCTTATAATTAGAGTCCTAGGACTCTACGTATAGAGTCTAATGTATGTACATGCACGTTGTTCAGTGTCTCATGCCGT